AACTAGAACCAGACAAAGTGTCCTCTATTGCCACTACTATTCAACAAAATGTTGGAAGTTCTAGCCAATACATACAGGCAAGAGAAGGAAATAAAGGGCATCCAAAAGGGAGCAGAGGAGGTGAAACTCACTCTTTGCCAAAGATATGATCTTATACTTAGAGAACCCCAAAGACTCAACTACAAGACTCCTGGAAGTGAACAAAAAAATACAGCAATGTCTCAGGATATAAAATCAATCTCTACAAATCAATAGCCTTTGTATATGCCAATAACAGCCAAGATGAAAAGATAATCATCACAGGCCTTCACAGTAGCCTTATAAGAAATTAAATACCTAGGAATATACCTACAAAAGAGGTGAAGGGCCTCTATAAAGAAAATTATGAAACCCTAAGAAAAGAAATAGCAGAAGATATTAACAAATGGAAGAACATATTATGCTCATGGCTAGGAAGAAGCAATATTGTGAAAATGGCTATACTACCCAAAGCAATCTACAGATTCCATGCAATCCCCATTAAAATGCCATCATCATGCATTCAAGATTTGGAAAAAATAATTCTTTATTTTATAGGGAACCAGAAGAAATCCCACATAGCCAAGGCAAATCTTAGTAATAAAAACAAACCCAGGAGTATCACCCTACCAGACTTTTGGCTATACTACAAGGCCATAGGGTCAAAACAGCATTGTATTGGCACAAAAATAGAGACGCTGACATTTGGAACTGAATAGAAAACCATGAGATGAAACTAACATCTTACAGCCACATGATCTTTGATAAAGCAAATAAGAACATCCACTAAGGAACAGAATCCCTATTCAATAAATGGTTTTGGGAGAACTGCAAAACCACATATAAAAGACGGAAATTAGACCCACACCTCTCATCACTTACAAAAATTGATTCAAGATGGATAAAAGATTCAAATCCAAGGCATGAAACAATAAAAATCCTAAAAAAAGTATGGAGAAAACACTTGAAGATACCAGTCTGAGAAAGATTTTATGAATAAGACTTCCATAGCAATTGCAACAACAACAAAAATAAACAAACGGGACTTAATTAAACTGAAAAGCTCTGTACAGCTAAGGAAACAAGAACCAAAACAAACAGACAACCTTCGGAATGGGAAAAGATA